CGGTCAGGTTTCACAACACCACACAAGTCCCACCGGGATTTGCTACGAGATCTGTGCCGTTGAGCGGTGATAACGGGTCTGCGGAGGAGAGGAGGAAGGGCTCAGTTATGGGCTTGGCTGGCTTTGTCTTCAGGGGGCTGCCGGGACCAGAGAAAACGCTGAGCAGCTGCCGAGGGATCCGGTGATCCTGGGTGGCCGGGGCAGCGCAACGGCAAGGGAAGCCTGCGCCAGCGGGGGTAAGATAATGCTCTTCACTCGTATTTTGTCCCTGCCCTCCGCCCTGTGCTGGGGACAACTCTCGGTGCGTCAGTGCCGCTTGCAAAATATCCTGAAGTCATTAGCGGCAGCCTAGAGCTCCGGGCTGAGAAACGGTCTGGAGGGGGAAATAGAAGTGGAGGAAGTTTTGGAAGGAGAACAAAGCAGCCCTGTCGTTATGTTGCTGCCGGACCACGTGGCCTGAGCGTGTGCAGCTGGGGCATCCCGGTGTGCCGGCATCGAGGGATGCTGGCGGGCTGCTCATGCTGCCGGGGAAGTTGGCCGAGGGAGCGGGAGGTATGGAAAAACTGCTGTCTGTGCAAGGAGGGATTGGGGCAAGCGGGGTTCAGCCTGCAAAAGCAGCGAGCGGGGAAGGGAGGGTGTTAGGGGAGGTGGTGCAACTGCGAACGATGTGCAGAAAACGAAGGCAGAAGGATTACTGTCGGTGGCGATGGGGTTTGCGGGTGAGAAGCGGAGAGAGGAGGGGTTGGCTCTGCGTGGTGCGCGACTGCAGGATTCGTTGCTTCGGGCTGTTTGGGAAATGTGAGTGGTTTCAAGAAGCAAATTAAACAAATGTGCAGAGGATGGGCATGGGTACAGCTGATGACACAGCTTTTCAGAAGCTGTGTGCTTTTACTGGAAGAGAAATGTACTCCTGTGTTTGTCCATAGTTCCACGGTTTCCCTGCGTGTCTGCTGTCAGTCACTATAGGAGACAGGTAAGGGCTCGACAGACTTTTTGTTTAATGAGGTGACGACACTGTTGTTTGCAGTTTTAGGCTAAATGTGCTGTGGGTTGTGGAAATGGGGATTGCCTGGTGTTCTCTGCCAGGGCGCTGCTGGTTGCAGCTCCCGGGGTGGACAGCAGCGTCTGCGACATGAGATGGGCTTTTGTACTCTGCTGCGCTGCGATGATTAAGACCTGAGTCCAGTGGGATACTAGGGCAATAAAGGTTAAGTGTAAGAGTGTGTGGACAGGATATGATTCTCTGAGTGCCTTGAAGATACCGCATCATTCACTTGTTCTCTGCACAGGATTCATTTACCCGGAGAGGACTTGCTGCGTGGGCTCAGCCTGCCAGCCGGTGCTGCACCCCACAGCCGCGCCAGGCTCTAGGTTTCAAGAGGGCAGCAGCTATTTGTTTAACTATTTTTACAGGTTTGGGGAAATCTTATTTTGGTCCTTTCTTTCTCAGTACTCATAGCTGACACATTGTGCTCTGTGTAGCTGATAGGTTTCCATCGCCTCCAGAAGAGCACATTTGTACTAACGGCAGCGATACAGAAGCGCACACAAGTGACTTATCTAAAGGTGTGGGAAGAGACCACCACTTGTGAGCTATCCTACCCTGCCTGCAGGAAAAGGTTTGGTGGCAGAATGCTTGAGAGGGACCGCCCATTAGGTCACCACTTGTGCAAATAAAATAAAATCATATCGTGTGAAGTCATAGTAGTAGTAATTAAACTGTGCTGCAGTGAGCCCCTGGTGAACAGAAGGTACCTTGAAATGTTGTTGCTCGCTAAAATGTAGTTGCTTGCAGAACTTACTTTGCCAACTTACAAATCAAAGCAAAATAGCTGTTTGTGCTGCAGCAGCGTGCACAGTCATCGAAGGCGAAGATCACGTTGTGCTGGGTGCTGAAAGTGAGTTTTCTGGGTCCTTTCTGTGTCCCAGGGAGGAGAGGAGGTGTTGTGACTTGTTGGGCGTCCTCTGCTGTGCAGCATCAGGAAGGAGTGCCCCAGCAGGAGCTTGCCAAGGTTGTTCCACTGCAATGAACCTGCCACTCCTCTAGATTATCCTGGCCCTGGGAAACAGAAGCTGACATTACTGAGGTGCGCCTGCTGTCACCTACACCCGGAACTCCTCAGGAGAGGCTTCTGAAGTCAAAAGCATGGCAGAGCCCTCCAAGGCCCGGAGCGAAGAGCTCTGCTCTGCTCTGCAGGGCAGCCGGGACACCTCCTGTGGTGTGGAGGCTCTGTCCTGCTTGAGCAGGAGATCCTGGTTGAGTTTCCTGGAAGCTAGACGCTCATCTTGTGTAAAGAAGTCCGGCGTGAATAAAGTCAGGTTTGGGGGCTGTGTGAAGCGTGGTCGGAGGGAGGTGTCTCAGTTTTATACTAAGCTGACACCGGACAACTCTATTTTGGTGTTTCTCGATTTGGAAAACATTGCTGTCCAAGCGTGGGTTGCCCACAGAGCCTCTGACACAGTGGAGGCTGACTCAGTGGTGGTTTCCCCTTTAGCAAATGGCTTTTGCAGTCTCCCTCCTTCACGTGGTGCCCTCTGTTCCTGAGGGTTCCGGGCAGACACGAAGCGGGATGGCCCACCGGGGTCTCCTGCTGCGGAGGGGACCGGGGAGAGGCGGAGGGGGAGTGTTGTGCAGAGACCATAGGAGAAGAGGAACTGCAAAGAGCATGGGGGACCTTGCGTTGAGTCCCCGCAGAAGAGAACGCAGCCATGTCCTGCATCCCCCCCTCCCTTCCAGCCTGCTGTACCTCTGCATCTGAAACCGTACTGGCCAAAAAGGCTTCAGCGTGCCTTTCCAGAGCTTGCTTCTCAAGCAAATGGAAAGTGAGATGGTCTGTCAAGGCAGGGGAAATTATTTCAATAAAAGCTAGAATTACTTGTGCTTCTTGAATCTTTGTTGTTTAAGAACTGGAGGTAGAACTATGTTTGCTTTTTAATTGTGGGGTGCTCAGTAAGAAATCAAGTTGAGTTCCTTAACAGAGTTAAAAGAAAATATAAGCAGTCAGCATTAGGATGCCTTAATAATTTAGTATTTTATTCCGTGAAGTGTAGCATTTGTAATTCAGCTTATGTGGCATTGTACTGACTCAGAGTTCCTGCGCAAGCAAACTACTTCTTGAAATGTATAATACTGTGAAATCTCCCTTTCTTTTGCTGCGTTTCCGTGGTACAGTGAAGCAGTAAAGTCTAAAATACATTTGTCTATTTTGTGAAGACTTGTGGATTAAGATATATGTTATAAGGCAACTTTTCATGCGACTCACTTGCTCCAAAAAAAAGCAGGGAGTCTTCTCTGCCACTGCATTTGAGGAAGAGTGCATGAATCACCCAAGAATAAGCAGTAAGAGATTTTCCTAGGAAAAGTTAGCTGTTTCTTTCATTTCCCCTGTTTGTTGTGTTAAGCATCAGCACTGGGATTTTTCCTTCAGTGTATTATGGCTCCACTGTTAAGAGCCTTCTCCATGGAGAAGGGTGTTGGTCTGGTGGGAGCGTAGAGCAGGCAGCCTGCAAGCTGGTTCCTGCTTTAGCTGAGAGTAGATTTCAGACTAAGAAGGAAGATGCCCATTTTGAGGGGGCAGTTAAGCATTTAAAAGGCTTATGTGGTGCCAGTATGTTCGCTGCTGGCCCTTCCGTGCCTGGGTAGCAGCTTTTGTGGGACCGCAGGGCTTATCTGAGGAAATACATGCTCATCCCCAGAACCACGAGGCTCTTCCATAATAGGTTTTTAGTTATTATTTTTTTCTCTTTTTCTTTGCAGGTGTTTCTTGAACTCTTCGGTGCGTCACAGAACAGTTTTGTTTTGGGATATCCTGCTTAAACCCTCAGAAGAAAATCTGCCAACAGCCAAAAATGACTTGAGTTGGAGAGCAGCTGCTTTATCCCCAGGTAGTGTGTTGGTAGCTCAGTAACTTCTCAATGCCACAGCTTAGCACAGCTTGCTTTCAGCCACTTGCTCAAGGCAGGAGCTGTCACTAGGGTCTCTCTAGAAAGGCCGCTGATCTGCACGTGTTTGTCTCCTGAGGAGTGCTGGGACACTGCTCCCATGTTCTTGGACACATCCCGGAGTAGCCACATAGGGAAATGAGCAGTGCCCTCCTGTCTTTGGTCCACTGTGCTGCTCATGAGGTGTTTATGCCCCAGCATATGTTCCCTCCATCGGCCCGCGGTCCCTTTGGGCACTCCTCCTACATTTGCCCCCATTTGTAACATGATGGGAGCTGGAGGTGTCTGCTAATGTGAGGTAACACGAAAGAGGACAGGAACAACAGGATCTGGCTTTGCTTTCTCCAGGCATAACATCCCTACAGCAATGTTTATCAAGTTCATTTATGCACCCAAATGTGCCTCAAACCCTACTGTGGATTAATTGGCTCCCAGCAGCTGTTTAGTGAGGCTTCACGTTGGGAGTGTGCTCAAGCCCACTGCAGGCTTGCAGAAGTTTCCTGTGAAGTCACCAAGTGTGTCAGTACCAGACTGCTGAAACTCCCACTCTTTGTGAACTCATAGCTTTTTTTTTTTTTTTTACTTCCCCCACAGTTATATGGCTCATTGTGTGCTTCATTAGCATTCATGCCTGTGGTCAAGTAGAAACTCAGTTCTGGAAGTGCTAGTGGTGGGATTTGGGTATTGGCTGGCTGGGATGGGAGGTGAAGGAAAGCAAAGCGGAGGCTTACCCTGCTGCTGGGATGGTACTGGCTGTGTTAAGCTTGACTGTCACGTGTGGAAGGGAATAGAAGAATGGTTTGAGTGGCAGTGGCCTCAGATCCCTGTTACATAGCATGCGATGGCTAATAGCCAGTTCACGTCTGTCTGTTTGGTGTTTGAGGTGGTGGACTTTGAAATGAGATCTTTAGACGACCTGAAATATTAAAATCTCCCCTCTGTTCACCCTCTCCCCTCCCATTGCCTACACACTGATAAGTATTTAAATATACACATGTCTGCACGCAGCCTTGACTGAGATGTGTTCCTCTCTCCCAGGACCAGCTGCCTGCCCGGTGTTCAGTGTCCCCTTTGGAGGCACCGTACACTATGGTTCACATCAATGTGTTGAAAAAATTTGTTTGTGTTCTTGTGGTGATACTGGTAGCTCTGACGGTTTGCCTGTGGAGAGAGACGAGAAGAAGCTACTATGTTCCTTTCAAGACTGAGAGTGATGATTTGCACAGGACTTCGGAAAAATGGAATCTACTTAAATCCCAGGGCCTTTTCCATGAAGCAGCCAGTGAATTGGGTCAGATACCCAAAACTTGGTTTAGTGACTCCAACAAAGTAAAAGGCAGCACCTCTGGAACAGCCGAAAAGTTGCAGAAAGCAGCAGACTCTGTGAAGGTATGGGATAAGGACAGTTCATCCAGAAACCTCATACCCAGGCTGCAGAAGGTCAGAAAAAACTACCTGTCCATGAACAAGTATAATGTGAGTTACAAGGGGAAGAGGAACGCTGCTAAACTCAGCCCGGAGAAGCTGCTCTGCCAGCTACGGGACAGGGTGAACGTGACCATGATACAGGGGTCGGATGGTCCTTTTGATACCTGGGAGTGGCAGCAGTACCTACCAGGGAAAAGCCTCAATGAAACAGTGGGCCGCCTGGGTCGCTGTGCTGTTGTGTCCTCAGCAGGGTCTCTGAAATCATCTCGTCTGGGACAAGAAATAGGTTGGTATCTTTCTATTAGCATAAAGTCAAATAACGTTGTTTTATAAAAGTACCCTACTGTCATGCACTTGCCAATAAGTCTCTGGTGTGGTCACAAAGGTGTTTAAAATACGTTGAAATATTACCCTTAAACTTTTTCTAAAGTTAGTGAACATTACAGCCTGGGAGGAGATGACTGGATACTCCCTTCCTCTCCGAACGTACACACAGCATCGTGTAGGCTGCCTTGTGATGCCCTAGATCACAGTGCCTGTGAGCCTTAGACCTTGGGCAGACCAAAACGGGCAAGCCCCAGGGGAGTGGAAGGGTTGGGTTGAGCTGAAAGGACATGACATATATGCAGGTAGTTCTCTTCCAGCTAGTCCTTTAGATTTTTGTGAGCGTGTTGGCATCACCAGAGGGTAGCACTGTTACTGGGTACCAGATCTTGGTTCCTCAAGTGTTTGTTTCCTGAGAGGGTTTGGGGTGGGTTGAGTAATGCCAATATGCTCGTTGCACGGTCAACGGTCTGAGAATTTTTCATTCCGAAAGACTTGTTCGGAGAAGTAAAAGAAACCACTTAAGGAGAAAAAGCCCTGGACATAGCCCTGAGCGATTTGCTGTAGGTGACCCAGTGTTGAGCAGAGAGGCTGGGCACAGACGGTTTTCAGATATCCCTTCCAACCTCAATGATGCTGGGATTCTTGCTTATGGCTTTCCAAAAGCGGCAGTGCTTCATTCTGAACCATAAGGCAGTGGCTGAGTTTCAGTGGCGCAGAAGACCATGGAAAAACTTTACAGGGCTTTATTTTATTTCTTCTTTAGACAAAGTTTTGCTTTGCAGAGTCTTACCTGACCATATTTGTGAGGTTAACGCATTAATGAATAAATGCTGAAGTGTTGGTCTTGTACTGAGGATTATAAAGTATGCTTTGATACCAGAGCACTTTGTGTCTTTTAAGAAAGCAGCACGCAGGGGAAACCAGCTCTCCAGCCTTCAGCTCAGGATTTTGCGCCTGGCAGAAAATTCTCCTGTGCCTGCAGTTCCCTCAGCTTTCTTCATTCGTTGTTCTTTGAGGCTTATTTAAGTTTCATACTTTGCTAAACTGCAGCTTCACTGAAGGGGAAGTTTTAAAACCTAGGAGTTTTCTCTCCAGTGGAAATTGTTTGCAGACTTTGGTGTGTATGCAAGCTGTCTGTTGGATCAGGTCCCTCTGGCCTGCGCTGAGCTGCAAGTAGCCTTCATCCTCTGAAACAAGTAGATGGACAGCTTTTAATACACTATGCGTGGACAACTTGGGCAGAGCCTTCAGAGTCGTAGTCCCTGGACGCTTGTGGGAGGGTCAGGGTTTTGCTCTGGTACTTGCTCAGGAGTTCGCCCCTAAACTCCTCTGTGCACCACAGGACAGGTTGGCAGGAGCTCGAATGAGGTTGAACAGTCTTTAATGTGTTAAAATGCTATGAAAGACACGATGAAGAACACAGCGGTGGTATGAACCAGGATAGCATTGCCTCCTGGTAAAAATTACAGGTGGGAGTTGGTTGATGTAATTGTTTCCACCTCTTAGAGGAGGTCAGGTGGGTCAAGACTTGGGAAGCCAATTCTGACTTCTTTGAGTACCTGCCTTGGCTTATTTAGGTGCCTCCTGAAGTTCAGTAGCTAATGGTTTCCACAGAAGTGACCTTCTGTTGAACATCCTGCGCTGACACAGCTGGCTTGTGTCCAAGGGTGTCTCTCTTAGACTCCAGCGTACCGATAAAACTGCTTGCTCCTCCGTAAGGAGACCCTCCCAAGAGCTGAGGATGGTGTTTACGGCGTGTTGTAATGCAGTCCGTGCAAGCGCTGGATTCGGTATGTGGGCAGCCGAGAAGTGCAACGGGCTGTGCCGTGGCTGCGACGCAGCTGAGAGGACGTCAGATGTGGAAAGCCATTTCATTGTTCTTAAGGCCGGTCTCTGAGCCTGTCCCCGAAACTGAAGCGCCAGTTTGTTCCAGATCACAAGGGTTGGATGCTGGAAAGGTCACTGTGAAATGTGCCCGAGGCGAACGCCGTTAACCCCTGCCGGTGTCCTTGGCTGGTGTTCCCCACGCCTGGGTCACACACCTGAACCTTTCTGCTCGAGCAGTCATCTCTGCTAGTGATTCTGCAGAGTTTTGGACACTTGCAGCCTAGAGCTGGGCAGGGTGAATATCGAAGAATTCAGGAGTATTCAGTGTACTTATGTACGTTTTTTTTCCCCGGTTTTGACCTGTGTATTTCTGTGTAGGAAAAGCCGTGGCTTTGTTGGAGAAAGGTGCCAAAAAGGCACTACACCTGACAGGCTTAAAATGGAGCATTTGCGTAGATGAGCACAGTGGATTACTGAATTATTGTTCCTTAAGTGGCCAGGAAATATTTGTTCTCTGTAATCACATTAAGATATCGAATGCGCAATTAGTCGATGTAAGGGAGGTTGGGCAGAGCAGAACAGGAAAAAGCTTGTAAACAAGCAGCTTTTCTCTTACTTGGTTTTATTGGAGGTTATGAATTGCCAGTGAAAAATCTGATATGAGAAATACTAAGTGCAGTAGGACTGCACCCACTGTCTCACCCACCAGGAGACAGAGTGCTTGAGGGAGCCAGCTACTCTGCCTGCGCAGTCATTAAACACCCTTTTAAAACGCAAATTTAGGGCGTAATAATGCTAGGTGTCTGGCTGAAGTTATGTAGGGAAATAGTAACCCTGTACTCCATTGATGCAAAGTAGGATGTGGAGTTAAGGGTCTGTAGTGGTACATACAGAGCCGCTTCTCAGCGTGGACATGTGTAGTTTTGTGGTTTTTTTAGAAACATCACCTTTCTGGGGTTTGTGTTTTGCTTTGCAAGGGCTATAAATAGGATCCACTTGCCCGTGAGAATAAAGTAGCTGAGAAATTAGTCTTTGCTGCCAGGGATTAGTGATCCCCCGGCAGTGCTTCTGAGAGCACCCCTGTTTTCCAGCAAGTGATCTGGAAAAGAGCCGGTTCTGGAGCAGGCGAGCCCTTCTGCCCTGGCTGGGCGCTGGGCGGCTCCCCGCGGACCCCGGCTGCGGATGCCAGAGCTGCGGAACCGTGGCCTCGGCGCGAAGGCGGGGAGGTTGGCCCCGCTCCTCTAACTCAACACCTCTGATGGGGTGAAAGGTTTCCTATCCAGATAGAGGCGGTAGGGATGGAGAAGCCGGGATACCAGGGTGATGGGCACGAATGCCCTCTGTGCCGCAGCAGCAGTGTGG